GCTCAAGCGAGTCTCCTGCCTCCACCTCCCAAGCAGCTGGGACCACAGGCGCCCGCCACAACGCCCGGCTATTTTTTGGTTGCAGCCGTCATTGTTGCCTGGCGGGTCCAGGCTGGATTCGAACCTGCCACCTTAGGTGTACGTGGCTGGCGCCTCAGCTGGTTGAGCTATGGCGCCGAGCCAGCACTTGGAGTTTTATCAGAATTCTTTCTGTGTCTGTGAGAATACATTCTCAATAGGACCAAACCCGTTTCCCAGTTCTATAGCCACTACCTGTACCTGTCATTGCCTGCCTGCACCCATGAAGTCACCTTTGCCCTGGACATCCTCACTCACTCCCTCCCCCCATAGCAGCTGGAGGTCACTGTGACTATCCAAGTCAGAGCAAGTCCCTGTTCTGCTCAGAACCTTCCATGGCTCCCACCTCCCTCAGAGCAGAAGCCAAAGCCCTCCCTGCTTCCCACAGGCCATGCACACTCTGTGCCATCTCCTCCTCACCCTTGTCTCCCTCCACTTAACTCCTGTTCACTCTGCTCTGGCCACGCAGCCCTCCTTTGTGTTTCACACATGCGCAGTCACTGTCTTGCCTCAGAGCCTTTGCACTTTCTATTCTTTCTGCCCAGAACACCCTTCCCCAGATGCGAGAGTGGCTCCTCCCTCACCTCTTTCAGGTCTTTATTCAAGTGACAACTAAAGTTACAACTCCAAGCCACCCCCTACCAACACCTGCATTCTGCCCAGTTTCTTACTAACTTATGTTACTTCTCTCTATGACACTCATCACCTTTAAATACTTTTCCTTGACCTATGTGTTTATTTCTGTCTCCCTCCCCTTTAATAAAAGCTCCTACAGGAGCTCTGTATATGTGTTTTGTTCACTGCTGGGTTTTCAACATTCAGAATAGAGCCTGACCCACAGTAGGAGCATCATAAATATTTGTTAAAAAGTGAGACCATCTTTTCTTATTAAAAAGATTAGGGACTTTGAGAGGCTGAGCTGGGAGGTTCACTTGAGGCCAGGAGGTTTTTTTTTTTTTTTTTTTCTTTTCAGTTTTTGGCCGGGCTGGGTTTGAACCCAATACCTCCAGTTTATGGGGCCAGCACTGTACTCACTGAGCCACAGATGCCGCCTGAGGCCAGGAGTTTTTAACCAGCCTGGACAACATAGCAAGATCCTATCCCTACAAAAAATTTAAAAATTAGCTGGGTGTGGTGGTGGTGGCATGTGATGGTAGTTGCAGCTGCTTGGAAGGCTGAGGCAAGAGGATCATTTGAGCTCAGGGGTTCCAGGATGCAGTGAACTATGATCATGCCACTGCACTCCATTCTGGGCAACAGAGTGAGACCTGCCTCTAAAAAAACAACAACAAAAGATCAGAACCAAATATTAATGAGGATTAATGGTGCCAGAAGTGTCCCTTCTTTTCTTTCCTCCTAGCTCACTCATCCCTCAAGTTCATCTCAAATGTTTATTCCCTGGGACACCTTCTCTGAGACCCCCCAGCCCAGGGAAGATCCCCTGTTACTCCCTGTACTATTTTTTCAAAGTACTCACTGCAGTAAATCGTTCTAGAAATGTCAAGGGGATTACAGATCTGATCTCTCTTTCTCCCTAGTTCCATGGGCAATGACCAGATGTCTTCTTCTCCCCCTCTCTTCTTCAGTCCCATCCTAGATTCTATGCCTGGGACAGAATAGGCTCTCACTGGATATTTTCTTTTCTTTTCTTTTCTTTTCTTTTTAGAGATAGAGTCTTAGTCTGTCACCTTTGGTAGAGTGCTGTGGCATCACAGCTCACAGCAACCTCCAGCTCCTGGGCTTAGGGGATTCTCTTGCCTCAGCCTCCCAAGTAGCTGGGACCACAGG